ATTTCTATTTTATCTATGAATAAACAATTTATTTTTCCATATTTTAGAACTCTTAAAAGTGGGTGGCTAGTCACCTAATCAGCCCACTCACCCCCCCCCTCCCTCGAGTATCAGCCCTTGTATCTATACCGCAACCGATATTTCATACCTAGTGTGAAATCAGTCCGCTTAGATTCCATGATATATCCTTTTTGATCTACTTACCAGTTTTAGTCTTGGATTCTTTAAATATTTGCAGGAACACGGGCATAACAATTGCAAAACATTGCGTAAAGGAAAAGATTAATGCCAACGAGAACGAACTCGAAAAACAAACTAACCAGGACCACGCGCTGTCTTTTTTCCGTGGGGTTCGGGACGAACACAGCTTCATTGCTTTTCCTTTTACTGAAAGAGTACATAAAAATATCGTGATTATCCCAACGGCTCAAAGATGACACAAATATGTTCGTGACTAAATCCATAATCATTAGCAGTGAGTCTCAATCAGGAAAATCACAGTAAAGTGAGGAAGCATCGCTGTGTAGTCATGCATGCAAGACAATCGTCGTGCATTTTGATGGTTCAAGTTTGAGTCCCACAGTAACAACTAGCCAGACAACCATGATAATGCATGAATTGTTATCGGTTTGTCAATTGAAACCGTGTATTGTCATGCAACAAGCAACAAGGCATGTGTGACATCATATCGATTCATCGGAATCATCTCCTTGAAACCATGCCTGCTGCAGTTACAGTAAGGACTGGAAATCAAAGTCCTACCTGGATTTCACCGTTTTGWGATGATGATGAAGCTAGAACATGGAAGCATGAGGTTTTGTTTTAACTATCCGAAGGTCAAGCATGATGTTGCCTGAACTAGACGCTCCTGGAGCGTGAAGTCGGACTAGCTATTTTTGAAAATTGATTAAGACACAAATTCGCCCCATCCATAGAACTAGAGGATTCCAAGCGCTGGATTCCGGATTCCGAAACATTGGATTCCGGATTCCAAGCCTTGGGATAGTCTTGGGATAGTCTCCATATTCATGGAATATCACAAAAGAATCGCGCGCTTTAAAGGATATAAATTTGATGTTAATATGATGTAAGTGTTCAAAATTCTGTAAATTTAATGGAAATCATTTATATCAAATTTACAGAATTTTGGACATTTACATCATATTTACATCAAATTTACAACCTTTAAAGCGCGCGATTTTTTCCAGTGTATTCAATATTCCTAACATATTACCATTCCACCCCCGACTCTAACTGTCTTGAGAAAACCCTGCCCATTTTCAAGACAGCAAAAATCGTATTCAAAACAAAACATATTCAAGACCAGCAAGTGTTCCCGTAAAAGAGGTCAATATACACCTATTTGATGAATCACAAAACCGCTTCTATTAGCCATTCCGGAGTTGCGCAGGGGACTGGGCACTAATCAAAGAAATATTTATCTAATCACGAAACAAACCCCACCCCATGAAAGGACACCCAAAAATTAGTAAATATACCAAGTTTCAAAACGTTTGGATAAAAACTAGCTGAACAGTATTTATTCCTAGTTTTATCAAATTAACAGAGAATGCATTGTTTTGGGGGACGCGGTCAAAATCCCCATACATTCTCTGTAAATTACACGGCTTCTCATTAATTGAATATTTGTCCAAATGATCTGTAACTTGGAACCTACTGTCTAGCATATTATATGCTTTTTTGTTTCTTGAACTCATTTGTAGCTTTTTGTACATTTTGTAGGTCATGATTTCTTCACCCTATAGCCTGAGTAGAAACTGCTAGGAACGCCTGGCTACGCAGGCTAGTCTAAAACGCATCTAACACTGATCTTACAAATTTTCGATGCATCGGATTTCTCTTAAAAAGCATTATTTTTGCTCAAAATTTGGATTTAGAAGTTCTCTACAGGATAATAAAATTTCGCTAATTTGGCCTCTAAATAGCTTTTTTAGACTATCAGAGATTGGGCTTCCTCTTGTGACGATATTCACGTGTATGCACAAACTTACACAYGTGAATCGTCTGTCACTAAGTCAAACTATTGTTTACGGACCAGGAATCCTGGACGTGACCCCAAGTCACGATTTTTTGTTATAATATTTTATCAAGAAATTTCCCTGAAAAAATATCTGCGATTAGAATCACCTAAAACATTATTCATTAGATCTTTTTCCATCAATAACAATATCATATCCATGTAACTTTTCTCAATCTGGATATTTTGCTTCTAAGTAGGACTATGACGTACGAACTTTCCTGTTATTGTCACGCAATCTCCAGTCAACTGTCATCGTGATAATACACGATGCACGTGAACAACAGCTGGGCCGCTACCATATAAGGAATGAAACAATGAAAATTCACATGCACAGATATCATTTTGACCAATCAAATCGCTTCCGTAACAGCCAAACATGTGAAAAGTCCAGGGTTCATGACAAATGTTTGTCATTGAAGAAGGTACAGAGTAAAAGTCCGGCGAAACGGAAGGGGTCTTAAATTTGAAGATCTGTTCAGTTTCAGCTGGAAATTTACAACAGCACAAGTTCATAGCTATATTGAATATTTAAGAATGAGAAATTCTCCTCCTAAAAGTCTTTCTAGGATGGCTTCTTCACAATCAACCCTCGTACACCTTGTGGCGGGAGGGTAAGCTTAAGTGAAACACGTTGAAATACAATAACAAACCGTAAATCATCAATTTGTTCCGATTTACGAGTGAAAACGTGATATCTTTTGAGTTTTTAGTTCTCACAACATGTTTTTACTCACTTGGGAACACTGTTGAACAGAAARTGTTGTATGTTAGGAGTAAATTGTAAACGAGTTGTTTGTGTTACTCAGAAAGTTTAGGTAAAAGCCAGCTTCTAACAAAGATAGACGAATTCGTCGTTTGTCCTTCATGGATGTCTCAGGCTATCAATTATAATTTCATCTAGCCATTATTGTACTCTATCACCACTGCTACATTGTGTTATCTTTTATTGTGCGATTTGCAAATGTTTGCTCTCGTGACTTCAAAGGATTCGCTACTCATATTACTGTAAAACCATGTTTATTTTCCCAGTCTTCTTCGTGTATAACATAATATTTTTGTACATTTTAGAGTCGCAGGAACCGTTGGTGCTTCTCTGACTTGTCCATTGGAAGTCGTTAAAACTCGTTTACAGGTACGTGAAAATCGATTTATCCTTGCGCACGGTCGGTGTTCCTACTCATTGACTCAACATCGTGTCATGGATTGCGCAAACAAATCTCTGTTTTGGAATTTCTGCTCTCATAAAGTGCCACATTTGTGTCTCGTATTTCACTTTATTCATATTTTATGACATAAGTGCTTCCCAAAAGCATGGTTTTGGACCAAAATCCTCCAGATCTTGTGTGCAGTTCTTACATAAGCACATCAAAATTCTTTGCAAGAAAAAATTCTTTGCAAGAGAGGGGGGATTGAGGAAAATAGCTGACATGACTATAAATCGATCAGAATACTCATTGAGAGTGCTGTTTGTCCATGGATGTGATATTTGCAATGGCAGTGGTTTTATAATACCTATGCCAACCCTAAATGTTCAACTTTGTGCATTCAGTGCCCTGTTTTGATTAGATTGCACATTTCTGCTTACACGTGTTTTTAAAAAAATTGTTATTCATAGTAAGTGGTAGGCACCAATCTTTTAATTAAACATTGTCTCTTGGCAGTCTCACAGAAAGACAACATAATTTAATCTAAATAATGTTTTTTATTGGACATTCAAATATATTCATCTATACAAAGTTAATGTATATGTAATAAAAACACTTTACTTGCGTGGACCATAACATATGAAATTTATACCCTTTTGTAATAAAACTTCCACAAATGATATCCTTTGCAGTTGGTTCTAACATTCATTTTTGCTTGTCAATTCTAGGCGTCAGTAGCTACGTTTCATACAACAACGTGTATAAGCAGCATAGGACCAGTTCCTTTGCAGTTAACTTACCAAAAACCAACAGGAATATTGATGTGTCTCAAGAATATTGTACAAAATGAAGGATTTACAAAACTGTTCCGTGGTCTTGGGCCAACTCTTATTGGCATTGCTCCATCAAGAGCAATCTATTTCTCATGTTATGCCACAGCCAAGAGAACCCTTAATCAAAGTGGTTGGGTATCACCAGAGAGTAAAGTTGTCCACATGCTGTCATCATGTTCTGCAGGTAATACTGCAAGAACTACTGTACACAGTTATATGCAGTGTGGGGTTGTTCAAAGCTCAATCAATACTAATCCTGCATGAACTCTGTAAAAATCCTATGGACTTAACTTTGGAGCATGAAACCCCACTTTTACATTGCAGCTACTGAAACCAGGGCCACCTAGAGAATGTAAAATAATCACAATTTTGATTGAAACAAGGCTTAAAAAGCTAACAAATGATGATCAGTGATATTGCAAAGAACTAAAGTTTAATGAGATGAGGTTTCCTTAGTCTGAATGCTTTGTTTTCAATCTAAATTGTGGGATTTTATATTCTCTAGGTGGCCCCGGTTTCAGTAGATGCACTGTAAATGAGCTGGACAATTGGCAAATATGGAAGATGCTGCTAGTTAAATCTTTTCACTTGCTAAACCTTTTAACCAATAAGATATAACATTGCATCAAGTTGTTTCTATCATGAAATCTTGTCCGTTTATCTGGTCACTTATTTTTCATTGATTTGTTTATAAGGATTATTTACATCTACTGCAACAAGCCCACTATGGGTTGTCAAGACTAGATTACAACTACATAATGGGTAAGTAGGTCAGATTTCCTTGTCTTTCTATGTCTTCTTGAAAAGCTTTTTATAATATTAGATTCCTGTCTTCCAAGAAGCAATGTTAGTGTAAAACAACGGTGTTATTGATCATGAATTTTTCGATTCTTTCTCCAGTAAAAGACCCAAGTTGTGGAGAATATTTACGTCAATATATGAAAAAGAAGGCATCAGAGGATATTATCGTGGTTTATCAGCATCATATGTTGGAGTAACAGAGACTTGTATACATTTTGTCATTTATGAGCATATCAAGTCAAAGTTAAGAGCACATAAAGAAAAGACAAGACCTGGACAGCAGAGTATGTTTGACTTTGTTGAATTTATGATGGCTGCGGCCACATCAAAAACATTTGCATCAATCGTTGCTTACCCTCATGAGGTTGTGCGCACAAGGTTACGGCAACAAGAAAGCGATGGAACAAGAAAATACCGATCGTTTTTCCAAGCTTTGAAAAAAGTTGCAATTGAAGAGGGAAGACCAGGACTGTATGGTGGACTTGGAACACAGCTTATACGACAAATCCCTAATACTGCTCTAGTATTCTTGACATATGAAGCAATCGTTGGCTTTCTATGTAGCGAAGAGTAAGAACGCAGTGGACARTGAATTGTCTGAATAATATCAATTTTAGAAGAGAAAAAGTTTTATTTACCTTACCAAGATGATTATTTGTACAAAAAACAATATTAGTAAGTTATATTGTATTGCAGCAATCTGCTGTACTATGACAGCTCATGACGTTTATGCCTGGGCAAAAAAAAAAGAAAGAAAGAATTGTAYCTCCAACTAGCTTTTTGTGCATGCATACTTTGTTCTCTACTTTTTACCATGAATAACATAAACTACAGAGACAAGAGTGATTTTTATTGAACTGTGAAATGTAAAAGCAAGAGAATTAGAGCCCACTATTACATGTGGGCTTTGCACTTTCAAATTCCAATGAAAATCACTCAATTATGTAGCTAGCTCATGGTATCTACAGAACAATTTCTTGTTAGGAATACCAGTGTTGAAAAGTAGGCAAAAAAGTTTAATATTGGTTAGTGAGTGGACTGTGGCCATGATGGATGAGAATAGAATGCCCTTCACTCTCCTGGARATTGTTTTCACACTATTATCTCTTCCAAACMCAATTCAAACTCTAAAGGTAAAATGCTCATGGCTTGTTCACCGGGTATAACAGTCCATATGAGTGGATTGTTTGTTGTGTTTTTAGATTTAAATCARTACACAGATTCATTATCCCCCTTTCATTTCAAGGCATTTGTGTCAAGGTAGATGAAAAGGAGTTCAGATTATCAGATTTTCATWMAGTGCTCAGTTATTCTAAGACAATTCTACCAGAGTTTATTTATATTAGATATATGTATTATAGATATTCAATGATGTATATAACTTCTTTTTTTGAAAATAAAGTCYTTAGATGYATGAACTACCTCTTGTTTTCTGTTGTTATATTTTGAACAGTTACATGAAGGAATTGTCCTGTGACAACACTTTGTATTTGCAAGATGTCAGGAAGCTTTCAGCAGACCAAAATATCCATTGCTTTATCTAAAATTTCAGTTTTCGCTATCATTAGATGCCTGTCTAAATGGAAAAATTGCAAATCTGCAGTGGAATGGTCTTARTCATTGGAACGGTTCCAATCATAGCAGCATTACTGGGAAATTGATGGCAATTAAAAAAAAACTGGGAAAGGAAGAGATAGAAAAAGGGGAAGATGTTTTGGTATCCAGCAGTGTCAGGTTATGGCCACCAGCTATTTAGCAAAATATCAACAGAAAGACGTCTCTAGCAAAACAATAACGTACAATAACAGAGTGCATGTTGAAAAAATGCTTTATTACTCATGCCCAGGCTCTGCCATGCACGATTCGTACGATTCACATACAATATGTCTCGCCAATCTACTTTGGATGATCCCAGCCCTCACTTCAAGTACTCTTCCATTCTCGTACCCATACCCTACTCTTGAACTTCGGTCGAAAGATAAAAAGGTCTGGATACGAGAATGGAACTTCGGGTATTGTTTGGATGTCACTTTAACAGGGGCGGATCCAGGGGAGGTACTTTGGGTGAGAACGCAACCCCCTTTTCGGACGATGTAATTTTTATATATCAGTATAAACGTTTTTTTTCTCGCTGTTTATACTCCTGTTGTACTTTTGTTGAGAAAACTAGTAGCATTCACAACATATGTCTGCCACTATGCTGCTTAACAATCTATTTGAGTAGTGTAGTCAAAGATACGTTGCAATAAAAGTCAATTTGCTTCCGGTCAAATTGTGCATAATTGTCTTCCTCTCTCAATACGCAGCTAATAAAAATGATCAGTTCCACCTGAAGTAACTGGAAATAAGGTAGAATACAAAGSTMCGATTACTTCCCCTGGTTTCAAGTTACTTCACGTGTAGTGGTACAAATTACAATCAGGGCCGATTGGCTGGATACCTCATGAATAATTAATGAGTATGAGAATTAAAATTATTCAATTACCAAAATTTGTGATTTTCTTTCTTGTGCCCACTCTYCCACGGTATGAAGTCAGGAAATGACTTCGTATATTTTGTTTTAACTGACATTAAACAGATCTAAAAAAATGCATTTTACGTATTTTTGTTAAAACAGACTATTTATTTTTGATAATTTCTTTAAGACATGTGGTAATATTAGTAACCTGAGCGTCTGACAGATCACTGAATAAATTCAAATTATGGCCAATAAAAAAATGAGGAAGTTCTTTCATCCTTACTTTCTCTAAAAGCTGTTGGATAAAATACTCAATGACCTTAAATTGAGTGCGCTTTTCAGTCCAATTGCCGTCTGATCTTAACCATAAGAATAGCGTTTTTAGATGGTATGAGCAGAGTGGCTCAAGTGAAGCTTTATGTCTTTCAAAAATCACTTTAACTATTTTGTAATGCTCCTTATCCTCGTCAATGGAYTTTGGGGATAGAAGATCTTTCTCTGCAAGAGAGAAAGATGTTCTCCAGCATTTTTGATCACGTGGGTTGACTTTAGGTACAACATGGCAGCCCCTTTTTTTGATGTTTTCCACCTGTTGTGCACCAGGCCACTGTAATGGATTAAGAACACCCCAGTTGTTTGCAACAGGAGGCCAATGCTGTGATTGGATGCAAAGAACTACGTCAATATCCAGTGTTTTATCATTTGCAAGACAGAAGGTCAGTTTCACCGCAGGACCATGTAAACTGGGCTCACAATAACTCCGCCAAGGCTGTTTTCCGACACAATTTATTTGGTGCAGCCGTTGACTAAGAAGCTCTTTAAAGTGTTCTAGGATWAGCTTGGGAGATAGAAGAGGTCGTGAATCAGGTCCTCCGGTTTCCAGTAAATCCTCCCATTTTTTGTGCCCATCAAAGTGACTTTGATACTCCAGATAAGCAAATCCTACAAGGTGTCGAGAATGTCTTCTCGCTACACAAAAGCGAGGTTGGAATATATTGGACAACTTAGCTGCATTCAACTGTACCATAATATCAAATTCATCAGCCTCGCCTACTTTGAGGCGTTCATAATAACTCCCTGAAAACATAAACGTGATAAAATGTTAACACAAAATAGAAAATGATGCATTTCAAATGAATCAATTGAACTGTGTAATGTTTCCCTAATGCTACGTAATTTGACAAAGTGATAACGATCCCCTCTCGTCGAGAATTTTAACTCAGATGCCATGCTTGGTTTTTGATCCCCAGGGAATGGATTTGACTCGAATAAAAAGGTCCCCAATTAGGGTTGGAAAATTGATTCTGTCACAAAAAAATGTCAAAATTCCCCTGGGGTTGATCCCCCTCCCATCCTGGAGCAAACGATCTAACCTGCATGTAGAATGTCGAAGGTGAACCTGTTRTCGATTTTAAAGACTTGAGAAATGATCTCTTTCTCTACCACTTCATTCACGAATTTCGCCTTTTCGGTAATATCAGTTTTACTTAGACTACCGCGGACTTTGATAGCCTTATGCAGTTCTTTGTTGCTATCGGAATTAGTCAGTCGAAATGAACCTTTGGTGGAATGTGAAGTCGCTTTGTCCTCCATTGAAGTATTCACAACTTTTCTTTCCTGAGTAGAATTTTCAATTTTTTGTTCTTCGTCGGCGTATCCTTCTTTGTTGTCCTCCTCTTCTTTTTCTTCCTGTTTAGCAACATCCAATTCCYTGGCTGTGCAGCGGGTGGTTGACGACAGATGCAGTCCCCGTGATGCACAACGGCTGCCTTCCCTTTCCACCTTTCTTGCGCTGGAGTGAGAATGCACGCCTTTCTTGCAGTCGGAGCCGCTTTCATTACGCTCTAACACYTCAGGCCTCGATTGAGAAGTCTGTCGAAGCGTCCTACTAGTTGGCTGTCTCCTTCGACGACCACGCGACTGAGAAGCTCTTGAATCCTCGTTTGTTCCATTTTCTACTGTTTGTACGTCCTTACGTTCCTTTCTTTCTGTATATCTAATGGGATATATGCCAGCCTCTCGAGGAATCGTACTATCAGTACTACCAGACACTTTTCGCACAGCCTGAACGCGGTTTTGCCGACTTCCAACCGGCATCGCTAAGATCTTCAAATGAATCAAATAGTATTGSTTATATACTCTTAAAAGCTCGAGCTCAAGATAAAGGATTGTCTGTGTCCTCAGTCATGTTATATAGTCGAATTTAGTTAAGGTTTATGGTGAAGAGGAAAACGGACCGCCACAAAACGAGGAAGTTTAATGGAGGAGTCATGTCGATTTGTCTGAGTGAAAAAAAAGTTCAAGAAAATCCAAACAAAAGTTCACTTTCACTTTCAAGTCCATTATGTTACTGTCATTCTTTCCTGATGTTACAATCACTAACGTAAAATATTTGTAATAGAGCATTTTTTTGAGAAAATCTATTCAGAAGACATTTCGTCTTTCCGTCCACGGCCAATTTGCGCTAATTTTGCACTAGACGATTACATGAGACACCATAAGAAAACTATATTTGAAGTATATTAGATATAAATATTTTTTTAATTATGCCATGCCGGCATGTCATCCTCGGGAACCCAGGGGTAATCTTTTGTCGTTGGAAGATTACCCCTTGGATTCCCGAGGATGCCTCCACGTTTTAATTTGAAAAACACAGACCGGTAATTTACACTGAATTTACTGATAACAATTCTAAAATCACGGTTATAAATTTAATCAACATCAAAAATTGAAAAACCTAAAATGTCCCTGAAAAGGCAAAAACAAAAATCATTGGTCACAAATAGAATGGACGTAAGGTACACGGACCACTAAGYAGATCTGAATGTTCAGCTTGGGTGACCTTTGTTTGATCAGCAACATTTCATAAATAAGACTTGGTTTTACTTATTGTTTAAGGATAGTAAAGTTTGTAAAATCGCTTGTGTATATGATGAGGCATCGCTATTCTACTATATAGACCGCTATAGGAAGCCGGACATCAAATTGCAGAACATACCTCACAACTGCACCACTAGAGGAAACCTTTTTACTAGTTTATTAAATCTAGAGTCATCAAACTTTTTAGATTCATAAAGCTCTATTTTCCTGCCATTCACTAAATCTCTGCGTTTCAGACGCTTATCGCTCGTCAATGATAAGTAATCAAAATAAACTCTATAATCAAAACAAATATTATCTTTCCATTCTTTGACCATTCTAAAATTGCAAGGAAAACAACTAAAGCAGATTTATAAAGTATACGCTATTTCACCTTATCCTGCCCACTTTACCACGATGCGCCTTATAACCGCCATTGTCAAATTGCGGTCGAAGTAAAGAATTCTTTATAAATTTTTGATAATATTTCCAAGCCATAAAACGAATATTGAAATAATTCCATTAATACAATATACTAAAAAATTTCCAGTATTAGTAGTGATTTTCAACATGTCATATACCCTACTAAAAATAACCTGATGCGATTGTGGTGAAATAGATACTCAAAGTCGCTTTTTAGAGTTTTTACTGATGAAGAAATGTCACGCGAAAAAAGCAATTCCTTATACMAGTCATATCATCAATTTTGCCTTGCGCTCAATTTATATACACAAATGGAATGATTCTATAAATATTACCTCTAATAACYTCCCATTATTACATCTTTCCGTTGGCCTCGCGTCAGAAGCGTCGTACGATAGCTAGTGTACGTTCTCCTACTATGGCCACAATAGAGTTCTTGGAAACCCGGAAGTAATCAGACGGCGGAGAACGCTTATACGTCAGAAGGGGATTTCCCTTTATATCAATATGTCTCAGTCTAAATATGTAACTTGTGGTCTGTCTACTATTGTTGATGAAAAAATAAATAAATAAATAAAAGTACAAGAAGCTCGCAGTCAACGTTTTGACAGATATTAAGTTTGTTTTCAAATATAGGCTTCACGTTGTATAACAAATCCCAGTGTAKTTYSGRAAAWTT